ACTCGCAGCAAGGAGGAAACACACACACACACACACACACACACACACACACACACACACACACACACACACACACACACACACACACACACACACACATACACACTCACACACAAACACGAACACGAATTCACTGAAATATCCAAATTCCCAGCTCACGCTTTCAAGGTCAGAGGTTGCTGAACACTGTCCTCCTTCAGTGGGAGGGAGGAGCGCTGCTTGCACTCACACACACCACCACCACCACCATCAACCAGAATTATTGATGAAGTGCGTATTGATGCGTGAGACCACATACTCAGAAACCGAGAAGCAGTACTTGGATTTTTGTTCTTATAGGAAGCTCTCTCAACTCTTTTGTTTTGTTGTGTGTGTGTGTGTGTGTGTGTGTGTGTGTGTGTGTGTGTGTGTGTGTGTGTGTGTGTGTGTGGAGAGAAGGGGCGACTGTGTGCGTTCGTTAACTCAATACTGTTACTGGATTTTCCCCAAGTGCTCTTCATATGTTGCTGCTTCAAATAGAACGACGGCTTCTGTACCTTCTCCCTTGACACGCACGCACGCACACACACACACACACACACACACACACACACACACACACACACACACACACACACACACACACACACACACACAACAAAAAAGAGTTGAGAGAGCTTCCTATAAGAACAAAAATCCAAGTACTGCTTCTCGGTTTCTGAGTATGTGGTCTCACGCATCAGGAGTCACTACATTAGACGACCGACGGTAAGAAAGACCGTATCCATGAGCAGACAGCTCCACACTGGAGGCACAGACAGTCGAGTACAAGTAGGTACTCACACACACACACACACCACCACAGGAGTAAACACGCAGCTCGGGGTCACTAGAGTAGATGAGGTTGGCGTTTGTGGTGATGGGGGGCCCACGAGGTGGGACTCACCCACTCCCACTCTTGGTGCGAGTGGCTGTTGTATACAGGTGGGTGCGGTGGGGCAGTATTTCATACGAGGGTTGGAAAGCATGGGACAGGAGAGGGAACGATGAGGGTTGAGCGAATGGTCTGACCAGTAAAGTCTCTTACTGGTGTACTTTTCAGCGTCTGGACACTTTATTACCCTCCATCGCCACGGCTCCAGGCCCATCTCTGCCCATTCCTCATTGTCTGCCCTGCCACCATATCCATATTTCCCCTCGTCTCCTGCCTACCCACCTCCCCATTCCCCACCACTACCTCTGTTTCTAAGTAGGGAGAGGCACAGATGAAGGAGAGTTCGTTGAAATGCTGAATATAATGACAGTTATCATAGGAGGCGAGCCTTGAATACTACTATACTGTACATCAGTTCATTAATACACAACCACTTCTGCTTTTCACGGGTCACTCATGTAATCATGTAATATGAGGCTGTCCACGCTCACATATTGTTTGTGTGTGTGTTTGGGGCAGGTAAACTTACCCTTCCTTGCTTGGTGGATTGTTTGGTCATATGAGAGACGGTGTCTTGCAGCTTTTTCTTTGGGTTTGTACCTTGGTTTTACACTGCTTGTAGTGGTTGATTGTTGATTGTTCAATAAACCCTTGAACTATATGTTTAACACATCTCTAACCCTGTCCATGGAGGACAGAAGAAAATGTATATATGCTGGTTAGCATTGTAAATGTGTGGCCACGTTTGTGGTAGAAAATAATAATAATAATAATAATAATAATAATAAAACTGCTTGTAGTTCTTGCATGCCGGTTTAAGGTAGGCCGTGGGTCTGGGGGATATTCATGTAAACAGATTCCTTTTTAATTATTATTAGACAGATATGGGTACCAGAGTAAACCACTTCTGGACCTTCATAGCAAGTTTAGAGTTTCTATCCTTGCTCTACGAGTCTTCCCTGGAACACTTCCCACCGATAGATATACAGTCTGGTCCATAATTACTGCTGGGTGAACAGGGGCGTAGATAAGGATTGACGCGCAGCCGACTCGACCTAATTAGGGTTCGAATCCAGATTGAATAATCTCCTTACTTTTACTAAGCCAGTTTTTGCTTTGTTTATTCTTGCATTTACATGATTTTTTATTCCGGTTCTGTTAATCCCGAGTCCCGGTGTGCTGGCTACTTCCTTATCTAGCAAATTATTATTTTTCATTGCTTTTGAATGCCATTTATAGATACTATTGTCGCCTTCCATTTGTTGGGCAGAGATGTCTTTGTCCTTGATGGCGGATGTCTACGATGTTGTTCACATGTTGTCTGAGATGTTGTTCACATGTGTGTTCACACACACACACACAAACACACACACGGTCAGAGTGCCTGCGAACATGCCAGACTTCCCATGTCTCCATGATTGCCTGTGACGCCGTGAGTCAGAGCACAGAGCTTGATAGCAGCAGTGCCTTGCCTCATGCTTGGAGAGGAAGCGTGAGTTGCCACCTCGTGTCTTCCACAGTCTCCCCGCCTTACCATCCCACAGCCTAGCCATAAACAGCCTAGCCTCCCACAGCCTATCCCCCCCCACCCCCACGCTGCCTAGCCCTTCCTAGGTAACAGCAGCTCATGGGCCGCTTCCCATTAAACGGATTACTAAACACAAATGCAGAATTCCTTTAGAAAATTTTGTTGGTTCTGTTTTGAGGTTATTGTTGATTTAAATTTAAATTTTGCCCCGAGGGGCGAGTTTATTGGGCAGCGCCACTCATCTTGTGAGTGGACATACCGCCATAGCAGCATGTACAACACTCCCCAATAGGAAGAAAACCCGCTGGGTTGTTTATCCTGCTACTCCATTATTTAAAGCATAAGATCACAACCTGAACCTCACATTGGTAAAGAATATTGGATGCGAAGCAGCTGTCTAACTCCCAGGTACCTATTTACTGCTAGGTAACAGGGGCCATCAGGGTGAAAGAAACTCTGCCCATTTGTTTCCGCCTCCAGCGGGGGATCGAACCCGGAACCTCAGGACTACGAATCCGAAGCGCTGTTCACCCAGCTGTCAGGCGCCCTGTGGGGCAACATATAGGCCTATCTTGCCAGGCCTGGCTTGGTGCCAGGCTTGGATTCTGATTGCTTGATCGAACAGATTGTTGCTCGAAGCAGCTTGATCTAACCGCTTCGTAACCTATTGAGATTGATGATGTATAAGGATTATTGTGATGCTTGAAGATGATTATAGCGAGTTGATCATGAACAAGTAACATACATAATTATATATCACAACTATTCATAATTTACAACGAATAATATATATATATATATATATATATATATATATATATATATATATATATATATATATATATATATATATATATATATATATATACATTTGAGTGAGGTGGGAGGGGTGATGTGGCATTAACACAAGACAGAACAAGAGGGGATATTAATAGGGTATTAAAAGTATCAACACAAGACAGAACAGAAACAATGGGTATTGAATAGAAGTGTTTGTAGAAAGCCTATTGGTCCATATTTCTTGATGCTTCTATATTGGAGCGGAGTCTTGAGGTGGGTAGAATATAGTTGTGCAATAATTGGCTGTTGATTGCTGGTGTTGACTTCTTGATGTGTAGTGCCTCGCAAACGTCAAGCCGCCTGCTATCGCTGTATCTATCGATGATTTCTGTGTTGTTTACTAGGATTTCTCTGGCGATGGTTTGGTTATGGGAAGAGATTATATGTTCCTTAATGGAGCCCTGTTGCTTATGCATCGTTAAACGCCTAGAAAGAGATGTTGTTGTCTTGCCTATATACTGGGTTTTTTGGAGCTTACAGTCCCCAAGTGGACTGATTAATATCCCCTCTTGTTCTGTCTTGTGTTAATGCCACATCACCCCTCCCACCTCACTCAAATGTAGATATAAAATCAGAGATACGTTCTAATCAATATATATATATATATATATATATATATATATATATATATATATATATATATATGCGAACAAGCCTGAATGGTCCCCAGGACAATATGCAACTGAAAACTCACACCCCAGAAGTGACTCGAACCCATACTCCCAGGAGCAACGCAACTGGTATGTACAAGACGCCTTAATCCACTTGACCATCACGACCGGACAAAATGAGGTGATAGCCGAGGCTATTTGAACCACCCCACCGCCGGCACTCGGATAGTAATCTTGGGCATAGCATTTTACCAAATCACCTCATTCTTTGGGGCACACGTGAGGAACACAAATGCGAACAAGCCTGAATGGTCCCCAGGACAATATGCAACTGAAAACTCAGTTGCTCAGTTGCCTCAACTGAAAGAATGAGGTGATTTGGTAAAATGCTATGCCCAAGATTACTATCCGAGTGCCGGCGGTGGGGTGGTTCAAATAGCCTCGGCTATCACCTCATTTTGTCCGGTCGTGATGGTCAAGTGGATTAAGGCGTCTTGTACATACCAGTTGTGTTGCTCCTGGGAGTATGGGTTCGAGTCACTTCTGGGGTGTGAGTTTTCAGTTGCATATTGTCCTGGGGACCATTCAGGCTTGTTCGCATTTGTGTTCCTCATGTGTGCCCCAAAGAATGAGGTGATTTGGTAAAATGCTATGCCCAAGATTACTATCCGAGTGCCGGCGGTGGGGTGGTTCAAATAGCCTCGGCTATCACCTCATTTTGTCCGGTCGTGATGGTCAAGTGGATTAAGGCGTCTTGTACATACCAGTTGCGTTGCTCCTGGGAGTATGGGTTCGAGTCACTTCTGGGGTGTGAGTTTTCAGTTATATATATATATATATATATATATGATTATAGATATCTATTATGAGTATATTACATACAAATTAAAAAAAATAATATATCAAAATAACTTCTGATGATTTTTGAAATATTAAAAGTAATTTGAAATATCTTCTGACAAAAATTATTTTTGTTTTCTCCATACAAGTTTCTCGAATATACAATACTATTGAACATGATAAAACTGAATAGAGTAATAATAACAATAATAAAAGTAGATAAAATAAACTTCAGCTGGTGTTTCTAACACGTATCCACTGTGATCAGCAGGAAGCTCTTGAGAACGCGCGACCTGACGACCCTTGAGAACGCGCAACAGGCAACCTTTGAGAACGCGCTCACAAAAATATATGTGAGTTTCGGCTGACCACTTTGCTTCATTTATATTTATTGAGAGGGAGATAATGAAAAGGTATTCAAGGGATAAGAAATAAAGATAAATGTAGATCAGAAAGAGTAAAGATATATATAGAGCTGATATCACGTAAAGAGCTGATATCACGCAAGCAAGCTTGAGCTGATATCACACAAGCAGGCTTGAGCTACATTATGTATTATAGAACATATGGAAATATTAAAAGAACCTAAAAATATTATTTTGCACTAACCATATACATTTTCCTTGCGAATGTACACAGTTTCCAGTAGTCTCCATGTTGTGTAAATTAATGTATTTCCATAGCTACTACCTACCTTCTGAGGTAAACTGTCTGGAGTTCCCTACTCTCCTGTGGTAAACCCCATCAAGTACCCAGAGCTCCCGTCCCAGTGTTACTAAATTAATCTGGAAATAAAGGAAGCGACTTTTCCGTCTGTCCTGGATCAGTAGATTGGTGACTTGAGCGTCAAGAACTAAAAAAAACAAGTGACTTACTGTCTGTGTTACTTAACGAGACCCGGAATGAGCCATCATTGAAGGCACAGAGCTGCAGTTGATGACTGACCATCCGGGGAGAGGGTATATATATATATATATATATATATATATATATATATATATATATATATATATATATATATATATATATATATATATATATATATATATATATATATATATATATATATTAGTAACTCATACCCAGCTCTTGATACAGACTGTGTAGCCCTACATATAGTCTATGGTAAACGGAGAAATGACCAGGTACCTAAATATGTTAAATTAAAAAGGTATTACTAAACCTTTTTCCAGACCCAGTGGGTCATCAGACCCATAGACCCTCTGTGTACCCTCATACCCACTGGGCTGACATACTGTTCAAACCATAAGACCAGTGGGTATGTGGGCCTGCGGGCCGCCACAAGCAACAGCCTGTAGGACCAAGTTACCACAGACTGGGCCCCGAGTCAAGCTCGAAGGAGTAGAAGAACTCCCAGAACCCATTCCGGGTATAAACCAGATATTTAACACAATATCACGACCTGACCGACCTGACCTGTCGTCAGGTCGCGCGTTCTCAAGAGCTTAACATGCAAAATTATTTCGTTTAACACCAAACATCAAAAAGCTCATCTCTAACTAGATTAAGACCTCGTTTACACCAGAACGATGAGAAGAGCGTGGTGCAGCCAACACATGGCGTGACAAGAGCACTTCCATCACCAGGCCGTGATGCATTCCCGAGTCCCCTCCACACATCACCACCCTCCCAGGGGGCCGGACCACAGCCCCGGCTGTTGCTGGCCTCTGCCCCAGCAAGAGGCCAGAGTGGGAGGGAATTACCAGGAGGGGAAAGGCAAAACCACAACGACTATATAGCACTTGGAAGGGACCAGGTTAAGGGATGGGTTGAGTAAAGTGTTTGACTCGAGAAAACTACGTCCTCGCTTCTCTATAAACAAACCTAACCTAACTTAAACTGTCCAAATCTAACTTAATCCAACGATGAAAAAAAGATACACAATTTGGTGCTATAGACCACACACTAGAAGGTGAAGGGATGACGACGTTTCGGTCCGTCCTGGACCATTCTCAAGTCGGTGCTACATGTATGATGTGTAGAAGTTGTGAGACGTCAATGTGACGTTACAGTGTTCCTGCTGGTTCAGGTTTTAGACCCTACTCGAGTGGCAGCAAGTCCTTTTGCGCCATGATTCACATGATGAATGTTGCCTCATGCTTGGTGGCGGAGTAATGCTTGCTGGTCGCCCCTGTCGCCTTGTGGCCAAGTGTTGCCACTAGTCCTCTCGGCCACATCTCAAGCATCTATATAACCTCTTAGAAAACCTGTGTATTTCCCCCCTTAATTATGACGACGTCTTTGTTTACATTAAACAGTTCGTGAGCTCCGAAGCACTCTGAGGTTGTTTACATCAACTATAAACTTGGGTTGTGAGGTTTCCTAGCACGTAAACTGTATACTAAATGTAAACAAAGCCGCTATGATTAGGGGGGAAAAGATGCATATGTTTCATCAGTGGTTTGCATAAATGCTTAGCGAATCCTGAGCCAGGAGGTCAACGGGTATGTGTCTCTCGATATATGTAATCAATTACATATATTATATGTAATAAATTACATGTATTGATTGCATAGTGATGGTAGGTCGAGGAATTCCCGACTCCCGCCCCGTGTGCGAGACTTCGATCTGCGGGTACCTAGCACCTGGAGACCGGAGTCAAGCTGCGAACAGCTCCTCGCTACATGGGTCACACCTTTACTACTGTACTTGAGGATTGTGTATGTAAGAACACATCACCCAGTGGAGTCCTGTGGTAGCACTATAGTGGTCTACGTTTTCGGCTTACAACCGGCTTACAACCAACCCCCCGGTTCAGTTTTCTGGGATGGTAGGAAAGGTGGGGGGGGGGGGCAGAGACTGTTGGGAACAATTCCTTTTACCTGATGCCTCTGTTCACCTAGCAGTGAAAATATATATACCAGGGAGTTAGGTAACTGTTGTGGGGGTTGCATGCTGGGGGTTTGTAATTCGCCTAGCTGTAATCTGTAAATAATTGCGTAATTCTGTAATTCGATAATAAAAATCTAACTCGATAAGCTTAAGCTTAAATACAAGTTTTCTGTCCCTGATAACAGTAAATTATATTTTAACTAAATATAATTAAATATTAAAATATAATATAATTAAAATATAATATATTTAACTACATTTTAAAATATATTTTAGTTATATTTATTAATATTTTCTTTCGCTGAGTAGTTTAGGGTGTTGCCGTACCAACCCGTCCTCAGACCAAGTCCATTCCATTCAGCGGTCGACCCCAAAGACGCATGTATCAATTTTAACATACTGTTCATTCAAAACAGAACATTTATCAAATGTAAATTAATATTATTATATATTATCATATTGTGCATATTTAGGCACTGGTTAGATTATGTGTTTAGGTTCTGTTGGCGATTATTTGTATTTGTAGTACGTGAGTGAAGCATTTACAGCGTTGTGGTTCGAAGAAAAGTCGTCAGCGAAGCACTTGTTCCGGAAGTGTTCGGACGTCATTAGTTGTGAGTCGTGTGTAAACCGTTTTTCATTCATAAACAGTGGGTTTGGCGGGTCCATGGAATCACTTTTGGGTCTTTGTTTGAAGGACGGACTATTGTATTGTGTACGTGGGTGAAGTATTTACATCGTTGCAATTTGAGCAGAGGACGTGAACGAAGCTTTGTGCGAGTAAGGTACATACGTCATCAGTTCTGAGGCGTGTTTAAACCGTTTTTCATTCATAAACAAGGGATCTGGCGGGTGCATGGAATGGAATTTGCGCTTCGTTTAGAGGACGGGCTATGGCGTACAGGGCTGGAAGCGAGAGAAACATGTTTCGAATCATATTTTCCAACAGTCTGTGCCAAAATGTACAAAATACGAACATTAATAAATTAAAAACGCTTTACACACGACTGACAACTGATGACGTTCGAACATTTCTCGAACAGTGCTTCGCTGACGACCTCCGTTCGAATCGAAACCCTCGAAATAATGTTTCTTACACATACTAAAAATGCAAATAAATGCTAACAGAACCTAAACACCTAATCCTAACCTACGTTTAAATATGCTAATATACAATAATTTATATATGACAAAAATTCCTATTTTGAATAAATATGTTAAACTTGATGAATGTGCCTTTGGTGTCAACCTCCGCCTGAACGAGCAGAGCCTTAGAATGGGTTTTCCATAAACGACACACTTCGGCCTTTGTTTACAACACAAATTACATTAAAACGATGTTGACTAATCCACACACTTGAAAATGAAGGGACGATGACTTTTCGGTCCGTCCTGGACCATTCTCAAGTCGAAAAGACACAATCGACTTGAGAATGGGCCAGGACGGACCGAAACGTCGTCGTCCCTTCATTTTCTAGTGTGTGGATTAGTCAACATACTTCAGCCACGTTATTGCGACTCATCGCCTGCATTAAAACCATGCATTAATAACGTAAAGGAAGACTAATGATATAACAAATAATTATCTTCAAAACAACGTGTACCGACTGTATAGTGTACTGCCCTGCTAGAATAGAGTAATTTGTGTCATATGGCTTACGTATAGTACTCCTCCCCCCCTCCAACGGTCCTAACCTAGCTAACCCACGTATAGAAAACGTGGTTGGTAGTGAGCCGCTACTTTTCATCGTACCCTTTATATAGTCCGTTGGGGAGCATAGCGTCAAAACTCGATGCATCATGACAGGTTGGCCACCCGGTCAGGTAGCCATGAGTACTGGATCTGCCAGTAGAAGAGAGGAACAATACATACTGAACAGTATATAGTTAGCGAGAGTGAGGGGACAAGCACTAGTAGAGATTATAACACAAAGACCTTGGAGCGTGCACATCACGCTCAGTTAAATGAGACTGTGTGCGTGTGTGTAAATAGCTTGCACAGCACTGCACAGTAGGTCTAGCAACCCTTGGTGAGGACGAATGGAATAGAGCAAGAAGGTTTGCAGTCAGCTTTGGATTTAGGAATAAATGATTTTAGGGCAAGTGATGGTGGCTTGCCAGAGTTAGAATCAGACACAACACAGCCAAGACAAGAACTGTCTGTGAATCGTCGAGTGTAAATGAGACGAGACACACTTAGGGCCATTTAAGAACACATTAAAAGTCACGTTTAACAACCATTTATGGGAGTTTTATATTTATAAGGTGATGAAACTTTTTTTCCCTCGAATCAGAGAAGCTTGCCTGATAAAATTATAGAAAATTATAGGTTTCGGGAAATAAGCGACTGTGTCAGGGCGCAGAATGAATAAAGAGAAGTTGTCAGCAATGGCGAGTACCAATGCAGATGGAACACACACACATAGAAACATCTGGGCAATCGCTGAGAAATTCTTTGAATTAAAAACTTAAAAAAACTAATTATTTGAACAGTCTGCCTGTAAAATTTTATATCTCAAAGAATTCATGTTTTACAGCAGATTTTTATGTCTTTATTTCATAATGTATTTTGCAAGGAAGTTCCCAAACATTAAGATCATTTAACACGGGAGTTTTCTGAAGTTTAGTGTCGTTTCTCTGTCCATGTAACTTATGGTCATTGTTGTGTGTTGAACCATATACTGCAGTTAAAGACCATGAGATAATGATTACTGGCTTTTCCTCTTTTTTGGGTGAAAATCAAACCTAGTTGTCTAGATGTATTAATGTTTTCTAATGTCATCTTTTACATGTGTAAGTGCAGATGTGTGTAAATAAAGGGTTGCATGTAAAACAGGTGAGTGAGATTCGCCTTTAAAGCACTCCAAGCTTAGTACAGTACTGTAATTGTCTTTGCTCCATATAAGTACCAGAGACAGCTTCATAAATACATATGAAGCTGAATCACAACGCACCGGGTTAAGTATTTGCAAAGTTTACTGGTACAAGGAAGGGGGGGGGGGGATAAATTGAGAGAAGGTGATTGACACAGAACAGGTGGGTTCTGTAAGGGACATTCATACGACCCTCAATATTCTTGCTATTTATCAATAAACTCACACATTCCGATGTTTGCAGATTACGTGAAGTTGACGTGAAGAATCAGGAAAGAAAAATGAAGACAAAATATACAGGATTTTAACACGCTACTAACTTTAGTTAAGTGGCTAAAGGCATTCAATCCCAGCAAATGCAAGCAACTGAAGGTGGGAAAAGGAGAATGGAGACCAGAGGAACAATTTAACCTGAAGGGAGGCAGCAGGTAAATTAGGAATACAAAAGTACCCTTCTGAATGCACAATACTCCTAATATATCACCGCCAGCTGGTCTAAACAGGCTAACATAAGGTAGGTATAATCCGAAAGCTCAAATTAAAAAATAAAAAATCCCTTCGGAAGAGAAAATGATTAAACTTTTGTTGATGTTTTTAAGTGGTGAACCCATTTGAGTGTTTTTGGCAAGAAACTTCTGTTGCAGTAACGTCATGAAATATTGATACTTATTTGAAGCATGTTAAATTGCCTTTTGGAATTTTATGAATTAGTGTAAACAATTATTAATTTGTGATTATTTAGCGTGTATTCTTGTGTTTTATATTCATCTTATATTGGTTAAAGGATTGAATACTTACATTTGAATATATGTCATAATTTTCAATATCCTAATTTTCAGTATGTCAGTGAATTATATTTACCAATTATAAAATATACTTTGAGATATTATATATATATATATATATATATATATATATATATATATATATATGCTGTATACATATTTGTTTAGTATTTAGTAACAAAAATACACAAAATACCATACAATTTTTACCCAATATTGACAGTTTTCTCGAGTGTGAAGAATCACCATTTGTATTATGTTTTGTTTCAGCAAATTCACCACAAGTTGCTGCTGTGGAAGTGATGGAATCAGGAGAGCTGGAAGTGGAGTGGTTTGAAACAGAGACTGTTCCAATGTTGTGGAACAAAGTGGTGCTGAAGACTGGTATATACACAGACTGGCCTGTATATTAGTGCTGACGACTGGTATAGCCCCTCATAATAATGTCAGCATGAACCAAATCAACCTGACACTAGATATACTAGATTCCTTTTGTTATGATGAAAACCGAACTTGTAACAAAATACTTTTATAACATGTTTCTATTGATGGGTCTTATTAATTTTTTTTTTTTTGTAATTATCATTTGCAAAAAAAGTATGAATAGGTTGTTTTTGTCCGAGATAAAAGCAGAATTTATGTTAAATTATTGGAATACTAAAATTTATTTTTGTTTTTGAAATAAAGTGGCCTAAATTCCATTAATTAAGCGAATATTTTTTAATGTTTATATTGATAAATTAGGGCCTCTTAGTACAGTTAGCTTTGATCTCTACTCAAATTCGCGGATCCCAGGTTCGATTCCCGGACGGGAGAAAACAATTACGTATTAGTGATATGACCTACAACTGAATATATAATGATTAACAGTAAATATATAGCTCTTGAATTAGAACATTCTCTGTAATTAGCTGACATTATAATTATAAGGTGTGAAGGATAGATGAAATTGTTAACGTAATCATCACCGGTGAAGTCTGATAAAGACCTTTTGTGCCCCTCTGTATTCCTTTTTGCGCTACCGCTCACAGGATGAGTATGGGGTGAACAATAAACTAGCCGCCTCCGGCGGCAACAATGAATCAATGGGTGGCCACGTTTTCTTTTACCTAATGTCACAGTTTACCTAGCAGTAAATTGAGTATCTAGGAGTTAGACAACTGTGGTGAAGGCTGCGTTATGTGTAGTGTCAATAGTTCCAACTTTGTAGCGGTGATGAAATGTATTAAGAACCTTTTAATGGTCTTTACGTCAAAAGCTCAAAAATGCTCTTTGAACTATCATAATCACATATTGATGAAGTTGGTCGCCACTTTCCAAAACCTTAGCCACCCTTTGTAAGGCCCACAAGGGACACCTTTGACACTAATGTAGTTGAATTTCTTTACAAAGAGTTGCCGTGACTTGAACATTCCTCGCCTTGTCCTGCTAGATTAATTTGGTTGGACATTTCCACGAAACAATAGTAGGATTCAACCTAATCCCGTGTCTATTTTGTTATGTTCTCCTGCTTTGTGAGAAGCTAGATAATTTAGTAACATCCTTTAGGAACATGAGGAATCAATCAGAACATTGAAAAAAACAAAACGTACGAGACCAATGATACAGTGTATGGAACCGGCATGGAACTCCTTACGCTGTGTCCAAGTGCCCTATGCGATTTTTTCCCCTTTTTGTTAACCATTTCCAATCACACACGCACACCTTGATATGGTGCATTTGAATAGAAATTTAAACAGCTGCGCAGTTTAGGGGTTAAAGCTCAAATGCAAATTGAAAAAATCTAGACGTGACAGGCCTGGGCGGCAAACCACGAAAGCTGGAGTATGAGGAGAGATCAAGAGAAATAAAGCCCCCATAAACAATGATTATTATAATAATGGGATATATCGGAGATGATGTTTGCAGGAAGACGACGGCATCGAACCAGCATTCTTAACCGCCGCAGACACAAGCCATACTATAGATTCTCATAAAACTCCCATTTCTGGAAAACGGAAAATCTCTGAGGAGACCTGATCACAACTTTCAAGATATTCAAAAGCAAAGTGAAAACAAGACTATTGACAATATTTAGGGACAAAATAAGACGACACAGCTTGATAGTGAAGGTACAAATGAATCAAAATCTTACTATAACCTCTCTTACCCTTCTTGAAACTCCTTGTTCAAGCTTTTTGTCAAAGTCGACCTGTTATAATCTCTTGAGACTTGATATTAATCTTCAGGTCTTAAAGACAACTAGAGCGGTGACATAAGAATATTCGGAGAAATCATAATGTTGAAACATTGAACTGCCTCACCTCTGCCTCGAGCACCTCTGCCTCGAGCACCTTAGCCACGTCACTGGATACAAACTACGTATTATTCTATTTTTATTCTTAATTACCTTCTACGAGATCATTTCACTAATTACACCTGCTAGGTACACACGTGTCACACCACCTGCCACAGCCCAAATGCTATGACATGTGTCACAACACACCTGTCTCTATAGACACGTATATACCAGCCCACAGAATCTTCTTACACCATCAGTAAGATCACCTTCCCTCCCAAATCATTTATCCTTTTCCTCATTACCTATCCCTTCATTTCCTGGCTCTGGCACTCCACCCGTCAAGGTACACAGGTAAAGGTCGAGCCCAAAGGCGGCGCAGAGGGGCCAGCACCGGTGGAGTGATTGGTAATCTTGCGCAGATAACAGTTCCAAGAAAAGGGACCATGATACCGGCATATTGTTAGCAGAGCTGTTCCAGGAACTGATAGATAACTGCTTGGGCACTCTGGGGGGTGCATTGGGGGTGAGAGGAAGTGGGTGAGGGTCACAGGAGTGTGTAGGGGGAATAGGGAGATGGTCTGAGATGATGATAGTCAATGGGGAACGAGACAGGTTTTTATTTTGTTTTAAGGGAATAAATAATGCCGGTCAGTTTTAAGAGGTGGTTGAAGGGGTCACGTGTACAGGGTAATGTATAGGGGCCAGGAGGACAAGGTAGTGATAGGGTGTAGATGGTGTAGGTGTATGCTAGGGTGACAGAGTGTAGGTGTTGGTGTACACCAGGGTGATCGAGTGACGAGAAGTGTGTGTGGGTGTGATAGTACCTTGTTACTGATAGATAAAAGTGTGATTGTGTGTGTGTGGGTGTGGAGGGAGGTCGTGTCGAGTCTTAGTGAAGGGGTAATCATCAGGGAGTGATTGCTATGGATAAGATCGTTTAGGATGTTGACAATGGTAATGATGAATCTAACAGAGTGACTATGAAAGGTGTGGGTGAATTAGGAAGATGATTGTCGATGATGAGGGGCGATTGTGGATGGGTACATGGTATGCTTGGTATTGAGGGTGGCATAGTTGCTTGTGATAAATACAGAAGAAGGTACAAGAAGAGCGAGATAACTGAAGTCTCACCCCAGATGCAACTCTTGAGTTCTCACTAGCGAGGAACAAAATTGCTATTAGATGCACTTGTCATAACACAAGACACACATCCACCCAGAGCCCCATGAAACAGTTGTTAATGTAATTATTAATGTTACAATCTCCGTTGAACTTTGATAAAGATCTTTTGTGCCTTCCGTAATCCTGTTTTGCGCTACCGCTCACAGGATGAGTATGGGGCGCACAATAAACTAGCCGCCTCCGACGTCAACAATAAAAAATGAATCCTCTGACGAGCGTGGCCGGGGGACTGACTGGTTGGTGTAAACCGTTTTCCAATCAGTAACAGGTGTTTGGCGGCTGGATTAACGACCATTTGGCATCTGTTGACGAGGACGATATACCGTTTTATATACAAATCAAGGAAAACCTGTCCTGCCAGGTGTTTACATAAACTTTTTCGCCATTCCTATGGAATTAGCTTTCAATTTGCATATAACAACAATCACAATATTGTAAACTATTCCAAATATAAGAAATTCCTTTACGCTTTGATCTGCTGTTGTTTATCTTTTTATATGCTCGAAATATACCGTTTAAAATGTGGAGAATATCTCTCGATACCTTAAACAGCTTATGAACAAATCCACAAGGGCCGTGACGAAAATTCGAACCTACGTCCGAGAGCATCCCAGACGCTGCCTTAAACAGCTTATCCGTGTACATACAGGTAAGTCTTACCGTCCAGGAATGTCCCCCCCTCAGGCAGGCTGTGTCCGCTGCTGCTATTGATCACCGGGAAGCAAGCAGGGAGCCGTCCTCTCACTCACAACAATTTCATTGTACTGACGTCCAGTTCTCATCGACTTGATCTCAACGTCTTGGAATCTATTTACATCGATCAAATGAGACCTGAGTTGCACAGCTTCGAGTCTTCAACTCAACTGTTTAGGGAATAAATATAGTTTTCTATGCCCATTTTCAACAAGAAAAGCCTAATGGTTGTTAATCCAGTCACCAAACCCCCTGTTTATGCACCCCCGTCCTCATAAACAAAGGCCAAAGTCCATTCCATGCACCCGCCAGACCCCTTGTTTATGAATGAAAAACGGTTTAAAACACTACTCAGAACTGATGACGTATGTACCTTTCTCGAACAAAGCTTCGCTCACGTCCTCTGCTCAAATTGCAACGATGTAAATACTTCACCCACGTACACAATACAACAGCCCGTCCTCCAAACAAAGACCCAAAAGTGATTCCATGGACCCACCAAACCCACTGTTTATGAATGGAAAACGGTTTACACAAGACTTACAGCTGATTTCGTTCGAACACTTCCGGAGCAAGTGCGTCGCTGACGAATTTTGTTCGAACCACAACGCTGTAAATGCTTCACCCACGTACTACAAATTCAAATAATCGCCAACAGAACCTAAACACCTAACCTAACCTATGCCTATATATGCACAATATGCTAATATATTATAATATTAATTCATATTTAAGAAAATTCCTGTTTTGAATGAACAGCATGTAACAATTTATGAATGCGTCTGTGGGGTCGACCACTGGATGTAATGGACTTGAGTCGAGGACGGGTTGAATAATCGCTAACGGAACCTAAACGCCTAATATAATCTAACCTACGCCTAACTATACATAGAATTTTAATATATAATAATATTAATTTGCATATGAGAATAAACCTATCTTTATTGCATACACTATGTTAAAATTGATGAATGTGCCTTAAGGAACGGCCAAGACTGCAGCGAGCCTGATCTGAGGACAGTTTGATGTCTCGAAATTGCTCGTTCCTTTTCACGCTTCATATATTTTCTGTTCTTTATCTTGTATGTCTTTTGATTTGGATTGTATTTTTTCTAGTCTTTTAACTGATATTGATTTCCATAAATATATGAACTTTATTGTTTATGATTTAAAGCTATTTCTTTGCTGATTAATTATGTGAAAAAAATATATAATTTTTCCACGAATAATGGCGTTTGTTCTCCGAAACGTGTGTCTCCCTCCTACACCTCTGAGAGGTACAGGGAAGGAAACGTTATACAAATGGGGAAAGTCGTGGGAGTTATGATGACATACGGACTGCTTCTCTCTCTTATCTATCACTGCACCTTACCTAACACTTTCTACCCTTTCCTTCTAATGCCTACCCTTCCCCATCATTTCTTACCCTTCCCTGACCTCCCCCCCAACATCCTACTCTTCCCCACCACTCCCTACCCTCCCCACTCACCAAATACCATCCCCACCTCCCCCATCACAGCTTCGCTTCTGGGCAAAATATTTCCAACCCTCTTCACATTAACAATAAACTTGACAAGCGTAATGTGTGGTCGAGTTGAATAATGTGTCGCTCTCGTAGCCTCTCTTTCTAGGATGAGGATTGTCCTTAGATCTCACGTAGCCTCTCTTTCTAGGATGAGGATTGTCCTTAGATCTCACGTAGCCTCTCTTTCTAGGATGAGGATTTTCCTTAGATCTCACGTAGCCTCTCAAGGTTGGGGAACATATCAGCCCTAAGAAATAGTCCATCACATAAGCAGCGGCCAGCAAAACAACTCCACTCTCTCATATAACCTTTTGGCTATCAGAGTAATCTAATCGCATCTGCAGCCCTCTAGTGTTCTCTGATTAATGATTCTGATGTAGGTGATTTGAATTTTCTGTATCCTTGATGTTTTTATGTATGATACAGTCTTTATTGCGGTGAAAGCCTATACTCATTATCGATAAATTCCGAGTACGTGTAAAATATTAATTCTATTTTCTATGCACCCACTTGACAACTTGCTTTGATTTGTGTTGATGATATGGCTTCAAAAATTCTGTTTCTTCTGCCTAATGCTTAAAAGTTCTACCGTTTTATTTATGATATCCAATCTATAATTGAAAATGAAGGAACGTTTCGGTCGGTCGTGGACCATTATCAAGTCAGAAACACGGTGGAATACGTCCGAAGTCCAGGGGCCAGATTCACGAAACAGTTACGCAAGCACTTACGAACTTGTACACCTTTTCCCAATCTTTGGCAGCTTTGTTTACAATTATTAAACGGATAATGAGCTCCGAAACACCAGGAGGCTGTTTATAACAATAACAACAATATGATTGGCAAGTTTTCATGATTGTAAACTGTTTAATAAATGTAAGAAAAGCCGTCAAAGATTGAGGAAAGATGTACACGTTCGTAAGTGCTTGCGTAACTGCTTCGTGAATCTGGCCCCTGGACGGACCAAAGCGTCATCGTCTCTTCATTTTCAATTATAGATTGGATATCAAAAATAAAAAAGGTAGAACTTTTAAGCATTAGACAGAAGAAACAGAATTTTGAAACCACTTCATCAACACAAATGGGGTCAAACTTCCTATTATCCTTGGGTATACTGGACGGTCTCGCTTCATGCAGGTCGGCGTTCAATCCCCGTTCATCCAGGTGCTTGGGCACCATTCCTTCTCCCCGTCCCATCTCAAATCCTTATCCTGACCCCCTTCCCAGCGTAATATAGTCGTAATGCCTTGGCGTTTTCCCCCTGATAGTTCCCTTCTTCCCACTGCCAATGGTCAATATGTCCGGGTATACTCCCATGGCCAGTAGTATACCACCTCCAGGTATACTCCCACGACTGACCCGAAACACTATAAAATTTTACAACAATAAAAATTAAACGAAAAAGCAGGAACATTTATTATTAAACGAAGCTCAAGAAAGCTTGGAGCTTTCCCCTGAAAGTCCCCTCCCCTCAAGAAAATGTGAGGCAGCAGAGAATACATAGCATGCATAGAGGCAGCAGAGAATACATATGCATAGAGGCAGTAAACAATATCATGCATTATCCAACAAATATTGTCAATAATGTTGGCTCTTAAATCATGACGTTACTGGGTCGTCAAGGTGACCAAGGTCTAGGTGACCAAGGACCAAGGTCTGGCCAAGGTGACCTGGGTCTACAGCTCCACACTGCTGGGATCTCCCTTCGTCCGACCCAAGTACATGCACGCTCTTGGATAGCGTAGATACACTCCCGACGTTGTAGATAGCGTAGATGCACTCCCCACGTTGTAGATAGCGTAGATACACTCCCCACGTTGTAGATAGCGTAGATACACTCCCCCACGTTGTAGATAGCGTAGATACACTCCCAACGTTGTAGATAGCGTAGATACACTCCCCACGTTGTAGATAGCGTAGATACACTCCCCCACGTTGTAGATAGCGTAGATACACTCCCAACGTTGTAGATAGCGTAGATACACTCCCAACGTTGTAGATAGCGTAGATACACTCCCAACGTTGTAGATAGCGTAGATACACTCCCCCACGTTGTAGATAGCGTAGATGTACTCCCCACGTTGTAGATAGCGTAGATACACTCCCCCCACGTTGTAGATAGCGTAGATACACTCCCCACGTTGTAGATAGCGTAGATACACTCCCCACGTTGTAGATAGCGTAGATACACTCCCCCACGTTGTAGATAGCGTAGATGCACTCCCCCACGTTGTAGATAGCGTAGATACACTCCCAACGTTGTAGATAGCGTAGATACACTCCCAACGTTGTAGATAGCGTAGATACACTCCCAACGTTGTAGATAGCGTAGATACACTCCCCACGTTGTAGATAGCGTAGATACACTCCCCCACGTTGTAGATAGCGTAGATACACTCCTCCACGTTGTAGATAGCGTAGATACACTCCCCCACGTTGTAGATAGCGTAGATACACTCCCCCACGTTGTAGATAGCGTAGATACACTCCCCACGTTGTAGATAGCGTAGATACACTCCCCCACGTTGTAGATAGCGTAGATACACTCCCCCACGTTGTAGATAGCGTACATACACTCCCCCACGTTGTAGATAGCGTAGATACACTCCCCACGTTGTAGATAGCGTAGATACACTCCCCCACGTTGTAGATAGCGTAGATACACTCCCAAAGCTGTAGATAAGAGTTCCCCTCGGTCTTAGACAGCAGAGAAACAAGAGTACGACGTTAGAAACAAGAGCAGACCTCCAGTTGCAGACAGCAGAGAACGTGCGCCCACCGAGCAGACTTTCAGCAGTGTTGCGCAGCAGAACCGGCAAGTCAGAATACACAGAATATCCGGAGACAAGGAAAAAAAAAAGTTTTTTTGGGATGTGACAATACTTTTGTATATCAGACCATTAACACCATTCATAATCAAAAAAATAAACAAAAGTTATTGAAATACTCATGACAATTATCAAGTTTTTTTCAGCGATTATCGAAGATAAAATATGGGCTGTTATCATGATGGAACGAGCATTGTGGTTTATAAATACGAATTATATTAAAATAAATCATAGTCTATATAGAGGAGGTGATCTTACGGGAGGAAAACATTATGTTGTTGTAGACCAATCAGAAGGTGGCATTATTGAATTATTAGGAACATTACCATTACAACAGGAGGTTTAAATACACACAGTGGTATATATACACACATATATATACCACTGTGGTATATATACACATATATATACCACTGAGGAGTGTACACAGCAGTTCCTGAGTATACACACTGAGGAATGTACTCAGCATCTCTGAGTGTACACATTGAGTTTACTTTAGTCCTGGACAATGTTCAGCACTTGGCCAGAAGGCCATCTTGGTAGCCATAACAACCCTCCAGGATTCCTTAGCCATATAGCTAGCCATTAAGCCCCACTATCAGACCAAACCTGCTCCCACAACCAATGACTGACGACTTTCATATAAAGCTACTTGAAGGAATGTTAATGTTGCCACGCCTACATTCCTGATAAATTATTTGCTAGCTTTAGCGGTTCCAAGTATACTCAGCCAGATGCATTTCCTGGGACATGACTTTCCTTTTCGTTAGCGATTCTTAGAGAAGCGCGCTCGATCAGGGAACAAAACAACATCGGTATGTTTCTGGCGAGACGATTCTGTACTTTAGCTACTGATATTTAGTCCACCCAGACGAGGAGGACATAGGGGAGAGGAGGGTGTTATATGGAGGTGATTAGCCTTGCAGGTGATTAACCGAAGGTTACTCTATAGCTGTTCCTCCAGTCTGGTCATTAGGATCGCGTCTACTGTATCTCACGGGGACAGAGTGACGTCTCCCGTCTTCTCGTGGACTTAGATCCGGATGCCAAGTGTATTAATGGTCCAAGATGGTTTAGATATTGTGTGATAAACGATATCAGTTTGAGGAACTGACCCAAGCGTAGATAAGACGGCTCTAAGCGGAAGTGTGGGGACGTGGAGAGGTGGATCTCCAGCATACCCGAGCTGACAGTCCCTATGGCACCGGAGTTGACAGTCCCTATGGCACCGGAGTTGACAGTCCCTATGACACCGGAGCTGACAGTCCCTATGACACCGGAGTTGACAGTCCCTATGACACCGGAGTTGAGAGTCCCTATGACACCGGAGTTGACAGTCCCTATGACACCGGAGTTGACAGTCCCTATGACACCCGAGCTGACAGTCCCTATGACACCGGAGTTGACAGTCCCTATGACACCGGAGTTGACAGTCCCTATGACACCCGAGCTGACAGTCCCTATGACACCCGAGCTGACAGTCCCTATGACACCGGAGTTGACAGTCCCTATGACACCGGAGTTGACAGTCCCTATGACACCGGAGTTGACAGTCCCTATGACACCGGAGTTGACAGTCCCTATGACACCGGAGTTGACAGTCCCTATGACACCGGAGTTGACAGTCGCTACGACACCCGAGCTGACAGTTCCAAGAACTCCCTGGTTGAGTTCCCAAGACAAATCCCCCCAACACAAACCGGAGTTATTTTCACCGGAAGACCCGCGGGGATACACCCCCCCGAGACTCCCCAATACACCGTGGGCGACAGTTGCGAGGCGAATACCCATAAATCATGCTGGTATTCCCGAAGGTGCGCGGGTTGCTGTGAGTCAGCTGACAAGGCAATTGTTGCTATCCTGTTCCAGTTCCAGGAATCGCTACAACTAGCGCGTCGAGCGCTAGTTGTAGCGATTCTTCGTCTCTGTAGCCGGGGACTTCCGAAGAACCAGCCCAAAAGAAAATTCCCCTCAATTTATAATATTTCGACATCATTCACGAAAAAAAAACATTAGCAACATACCAGGCTACTATGGCGGTGTGTTCACTCAATGGATGAGTGACGCTGCCTAGTATACTCCCTCTTGGGGCAATATATGTATATATATATATATATATATATATATATATATATATATATATATATATATATATATATATATATATATATATGTCGTACCTAGTAGCCAGAACACACTTCTCAGCCTACTATGCAAGGTCCGATTTGCCTAATAAGCCAAGTTTTCATGAATTAATTGTTTTTCGACTACCTAACCTACCTAACCTAACCTAACCTAACTTTTTCGGCTACCTAACCTAACCTAACCTATAAAGATAGGTTAGGTTAGGTTAGGTAGGGTTGGTTAGGTTCGGTCATATATCTACGTTAATTTTAACTCCAATAAAAAAAATTGACCTCATACATAATGAAATGGATAGCTTTATCATTTCATAAGAAAAAAATTAGAGAAAATATATTAATTCAGGAAAACTTGGCTTATTAGGCAAATCGGGCCTTGCATAGTAGGCCGAGAAGTGCGTTCTGGCTACTAGGTACGACATATATATATATATATATATATATATGTCGTACCTAGTAGCCAGAACTCACTTTTTGGCCTACTATGCATGGCCCGATTTGCCTAATAAGCCAAGTTTTCCTGAATTAATATATTTTTTCTAATTTTTTTCTTATGAAATGATAAAGCTACCCATTTCATTATGTAGGAGGTCAATTTTTTTTTATTGGAGTTCAAATTAACGTAGATATATGACCGAACCTAACCAACCCTACCTAACCTAACCTAACCTATCTCTATAGGTTAGGTTTGGTTAGGTAGCCGAAAAAGTTAGGTTAGGTTAGGTTAGGCAGGTTAGGTAGTCGAAAAACAATTAATTCATGAAAACTTGGCTTATTAGGCAAATCGGGCCTTGCATAGTAGGCTGAGAAGTGCGTTCTGGCTACTAGGTACGACATATATATATATATATATATATATATATATATATATATATATATATATATATATATATATATATATATATATATATATGTCGTACCTAGTAGCCAGAACGCACTTCTCAGCCTACTATGCAAGGCCCGATTTGCCTAATAAGCCAAGTTTTCATGAATTAATTGTTTTTCGACGACCTAACCTACCTAACCTAACCTAACCTAACTTTTTTGGCTACCTAACCTAACCTAACCTATAAAGATAGGTTAGGTTAGGTTAGGTAGGGTTGGTTAGGTTCGGTCATATATCTACGTTAATTTTAACTACAATAAAAAAAATTGACCTCATACATAATGAAATGGGTAGCTTTATCTTTTCATAAGAAAAAATTTGAGAAAATATATTAATTCAGGAAAACTTGGCTTATTAGGCAAATTTGGCCTTGCATAGTAGGCTGACAAGTGCGTTCTGGCTACTAGGTACGACATATATATATATATATATATATATATATATATATATATATATATATATATATATATATATATATATATATAAACATTTCCTAGTTACATTGATAAATTTAATATCATCATTGATTCAAACGTGCGGTAAATATCATATCTAAGTGGAATTCGATCTTGCAAAAGAGGAAGATCGTGCTCCAATACCTGCCTCCCGAGCACCCTTTACAAGCCCTTATCACCAACGGGAAATACCATAGATATTAAGAGACTGATAAGGAAGTTTTGCCTAAACTAGCTATTAGTCGTTCCTTGGAAAAGAGGGAGGAGACCAGGTCAGGGGGACTAGGGCTTAAATATTAATATTACTACTACTACTACTAATAATAATAATAATAATATCTGCAAGTTATCTGCTACACACACAGGTGGTACAAAGTTAATTATCCGCTACATACAGGTGGTACAAAGTTAATTATCCACTACATACAGGTGGTACAAAGTTAATTATCCACTACATACAGGTGGTACAAAGTTAATTATCCACTACATACAGGTGGTACAAAGTTAATTATCCACTACATACAGGTGGTACAAAGTTAATTATCCGCCACATACAGGTGGTACAAAGTTAATTATCCGCCACATACAGGTGGTACAAGTTAATTATCCGCCACATACAGGTGGTACAAAGTTAATTATCCGCCACATACAGGTGGTACAAAGTTAATTATCCGCCACATACAGGTGGTACAAAGTTAATTAAATGCTGCTCACACAGGTATTGGTAAAAAAGTTACCAGTCAGAGATAAATGATTCATTCATGGATAAAATATATAACTGAATCAATTACAATACAATTTGATTTGCTTTAAACAATGGACCCGGATCATATATGTCAAATATATTGTTTTTTTTTTATAATAATCTTTGAACAATCGAAATGATAAATTACCTTAAAATTTGAAAGATATTGAGCTGAGTAACTTTTTGCCTACTTCAAGGTTGCTCCGTTTGACGAACGTGAACACTCTGGTCGATGAAGGTGACACCAAGGAACACTCTGGTCGATGAAGGTGACGACCAAGGAACACTCTGGTCGATGAAGGTGACCACCAAGGAACACTCTGGTCGATGAAGGTGACCACCAAGGAACACTCTGGTCGATGAAGGTGACGACCAAGGAACACTCTGGTCGATGAAGGTGACCACCAAGGAACACTCTGGTCGATGAAGGTGACCACCAAGGAACACTCTGGTCGATGAAGGTGACGACCAAGGAACACTCTGGTCGATGAAGGTGACCACCAAGGAACACTCTGGTCGATGAAGGTGACACCCAAGGAACACTCTGGTCGATGAAGGTGACCACCAAGGAACACTCTGGTCGATGAAAGTGACCACCAAGGAACACTCTGGTCGATGAAAGTGAGACCAAGGAACACTCTGGTCGATGAAAGTGACCACCAAGGAACACTGGTCGATGAAGGTGACACCCAAGGAACACTCTGGTCGATGAAAGTGACCACCAAGGAACACTCACACAACACAAGACATGTGGGTACTTGTCTAGCTACACATGTGGGTACTTGTCTTCTCATATCTTGAGGTTATCTTGAGATGATTTCGGGGCTTTAGTGTCCCTGCGGCCCGGTCCTCGACCAGGCCTCCACCCCCAGGAAGCAGCCCGTGACAGCTGACTAACTCCCAGGTACCTATTTACTGCTAAGTAACAGGGCTATACCCCATAATAATGTAATTATTCCTTCATGCATGTAATTCAAGTCTTGTAAATCTTCTAATTCTATCTAACGTGTGTCAACGAACGTTTTATTATCATTCTTGTGCGTTAATCTCCCTGTGTTGATCACCCTTTTTTGGTGATATATTTATTATATTTATTATATTTACTTTAAGATTCGCTATGGATTCTCAAGTTTGTTTATCGATGGTATCATCGCCTTGACGTGGAAGAGAGCGAGGATAAAGATATGAGGAATGATAAGAAGATGATGTGGAGAGAAGAAGGAGAAGGAGAAGGAGAAGGAGAAGGAGAAGGAGAAGGAGGGTGTAAAAGATAGGAAATAATGGAAATCTTTCATCTGCCAGCCAGCCATGTCATTTCCTCTCTCACTATCGCTGTACATGTTGTGTTATTTTATGTATTGTGTCCCATGTGTTGGTGTGTGGGCCGGAGGAAGTCCCACCTATTGCTGCGGGCCGGCGGAAGTCCCACCTCACCCCGCCCTTGCTCCTATACAATGTCTGTCATCAATCTAAATCCCTTACGGGCTCACCATAGACCGTGCTACATGGACACTTCGTTCTGAGTAGCTAAATCTGTAACGACAACAACATCTAAATCCCGTTTACTTGTAATTTTTTTTGTTAAGGCTTGGATTTATATATTATATAGATTTATTTGTTTTGGGTTTATAATTATTATAATTATTTTTTAATATGTTACTTGTGTTTTTTTGGCAAATTCTTGAACTTTTGTTTTTAAAAGATTTTGAAAAAGAACAGTTTCCTAATAGACTTGAAAAGTAAATTGATGTGAATTACTTAACAAGTAACAAGTAAATGTAGTTTTAGAGACACACTTACGACGTGTACTCACAGACACATGTGTAATATATGTGTCTGTGTGCAACATGCAGAACATGTGACTGCGAGTAACATGTGGTTTATGTGTCTGCGGGTACTATTTGGTACATATATATCAGTGAGTAATATGTAGGCATCAACATAATGAGACAACATAACACAGACAACATTGACAATAAAGGGCACCCCTTCTGGGCATATGATGCTAGACGCCATACAGTTGATGGTATGGCACCTGGCAACACAACCAGCTGGTCATATATCACAAGACAACACACACATATGGCGACAAAACACCAGGGAAACACAAATACTTTGGCCTTAGGTAACACTCTTCGCCATATAACACACTTTATCTATGCTGGTGCCACAGGTGTTAAGTTCCTTGAATGTGGGGAAAATATGTTGGGAGTGCATGGTATGTGGGGGACATGTGGCAGGGTTTCTTGTATGTGGAAGCAAGGTGTTGCGTTCCTGCCATGTGAGGACGGGCATGTTGCTGGAACACAATGAAACAGGTTCCTTACATCTGCTTCCTATCCACTGAAATGATTAATACCCAATCTAAAGTCCGCATTCCACAAGAGATCTAAAAAAAACATTACAAATTAACTCATCAATATCACTCTAGCACCAGGCACAGCGGCAGGCTACACAGAGCATCATACAACAGCCAACAGTAGAAAAGGTCCAGAATTAGATGCCATTATGGCACCCTTTAGCGAAATGACATTTTATCCAGACTTTGCCAGCGGCAGCCATTCGTCCCCTTTATCAAGCGCTACTGTGGCAAGGACTTCTAAGAATCAGCAACACACTATGCACTCGGGATGGCGACGATATCGATAGTGGGCGGATATCTTCGTATCTGCTATCATCGCTGTTTACGCGATGACGTGAGGCTCTCCTCTCTAGACCCCCATGCTGTAATGGGTATTAATGGCGCGCTACGTCATAGCTGTAGAGTAACTATAGCGGGTACCCGGCGTTGCTCGGGTGGCGGAGGTCACAGTGACCTTATTACACTCGACCTTCATCACTGTAACTATATACGACTGTGATAGTCCATGCTGAAGACAATCACCCTGTGAGATAGTCCATGCTGAAGACAATCTCCCTGTGAGATAGTCCATGCTGAAGACAATCTCCCTATGAGATAGTCCATGCTGAAGACAATCTCCCTGTGAGATAGTCCATGCTGAAGACAATCACCCTGTGAGATAGTCCATGCTGAAGACAATCTCCCTGTGAGATAGTCCATGCTGAAGACAATCACCCTGTGAGATAGTCCATGCTGAAGACAATCACCCTGTGAGATAGTCCATGCTGAAGACAATCACCCTGTGAGATAGTCCATGCTGAAGACAATCACCCTGTGAGATAGTCCATGCTGAAGACAATTACCCTGTGAGATAGTCCATGCTGAAGACAATTACCCTGTGAGATAGTCCATGCTGAAGACAATCACCCTGTGAGATAGTCCATGCTGAAGACAATTACCCTGTGAGATAGTCCATGCTGAAGACAATCACCCTGTGAGATAGTCCATGCTGAAGACAATCACCCTGTGAGATAGTCCATGCTGAAGACAATCACCCTGTGAGATAGTCCATGCTGAAGACAATTACCCTGTGAGATAGTCCATGCTGAAGACAATCACCCTGTGAGATAGTCCATGCTGAAGACAATCTCCCTGTGAGATAGTCCCTGCTGAAGACAATTACCCTGTGAGATAGTCCATGCTGAAGACAATCTCCCTGTGAGATAGTCCATGCTGAAGACAATCACCCGGTTCGAGATAGTCCTTATTGTGTGAACTCATGACCCTTGGCGTTGATAATAGGATGACGACTGTATCCTGCACACTGCTACTCGCTCTCTTAACTAATGGGTCGCGTGTGTGTGTGTTTTTACGTTATATGAACCAACTTTACAAATGGAACCTATTCAGAAAATTAATATCTCTCAAAAATATGCGATTACTCTGCTTTGGACGCGATAGGTTAAGTTTGTTGCTTCTTGTTCGTATGTTTCTAGGTTGGCTAAAAGGTTGGATTATTTTCGGAGTGGTAAATCAAGAATTCCTACTTGCATGGTTTGGGCTTGGATCCAAGACTTGGACCCAAGGGTTATATCCAAGGCTTAGATCCTTCCAAGCTCCAAGTACAAAAGCACTCCTGAAGGTGATACCATCTTTCAAGATTGCTATTTTATCCTTAGCAATCCTTGGTGAGTGGGGTACCTGAGGAGGCAAGGCGGCTGGATATTATGAGGAGGAAGCACCAAGATTATATGGCAAATGGAAGGGACATGAGGACGGGATAGGAGCTGGGATAGGTGGAACGAGAAGGAGGAACGATGCCCATCCACTTAGACCATCGGGGACCAGCACCGACCCAGCATAAAGCGGAGCCGTCGCTCTACCGATAAGTCCGAATGAATGCATTTATAGCTTAAAAACAAATGCAATTTCACATCAAATTCCCCCAAAACGAGGTCAAACAATCAAGCAGGCAATCAACCCATCAAAGGAACTAAGCATTTAACAAAAGCCGAGTAAACAATTCAACCAAAAATATTCCCCCCCAAAACAACAACAACAAAAGCCCCCTACACAATTGTGACACTAGTCGTCTAAAGTCACTCACTCACGTTATCGGACTCGTCAGGTCATCAGTCATCCGAACACGCTCCTCCTGGCCTAGCTGTCAACGGTATACTGAGACCCCCTGAGGCGGGAGTGTCCGGACAAAGGGATTCGAAGTGTGGTTCATCCGGACAGGTTCTTGACTCGTTAACCAAACGTGTCGACAAGCAACACGACGTACTGAGAGTAGGGACTGAAGCTTGATAAAGTATGTATTGTTCTTTAGACGTTATCGCAACACTTTAAACGCTCGTAAGTCATCCGAACCCAACCTAACTCAACCCATCCTAGCCTAGCCTAACCCAGCTTAACCTAACCTAACCTAACCCAGTCTAACCTAACCTTTCCTAACCTAACCTTTCCTAACCTAACCTTTCCTAACCTAACCTAACCTAACCTTTCCTAACGTAACCTAACCTAACCTTTCCTAACGTAACCTAACCTAACCTTTCCTAACGTAACCTAACCTAACCTTTCCTAACGTAACCTAACCTAACCAAACCTAACCTAACCTAACCTAACCTTTCCTAACGTAACTTAACCTAACCTTCCCTAACCTAACCTTCCCTAACCTAACCTTCCCTAACCTAACCTAACCTAAACTAAATACAAACAGGAATTAAGGTCAAAGGTGGAACCAAAGTTTTCGAAGCCAAGTAGATAGGAGAAGAAGAGAAGTCAACGAGGTAGGAGAAGTGGAAAAGTCAAGAAGTAGTAGAGTTAAATTCACCTCTCCTTGGCAACAGAGTCAAATCAGAATCTAAAAAGAGCCTTGACACCCCTGTAACCTAGATCACGACTGGGGTTAATACCTAAATTG